CCAATATATTCAGATACCGCCTGCAAGCGCTGGCACATTGATCAGGCAGCATGATAAGGAAGCAGTCATAGTCTGAAATGGCAAATGTGGTAACCCTCAGAGGGCGTTGCTTGTGCAGCGTCGAACTGCGGATGGCGGCTCGCATGGATATGATGGACATCGCAGGCCGTTGCTCAGGATGGTATAACAACCAAGGCCATGGCAATGGCAGCACCATGATGTGGTCCCGCGGTCAAGCCAGACCCAATGTTGTTGTGCTTCGCTGCGCTCCATGTCAGGTTCGACACCCAGCCCTCGTGTCTTCCGTTCTAGACAGCCAACGCATCAGAAGTAGGTCGGCTATGCGCAAAATGCCTCCTATGCCTTGAGCTGAGGTCCAGCCGTCCAGGTTCTGCCATGTCATCGGCGTTGGAAAACAAAAATCGTTGGGATCGCGGCACTGGTAACAAGCGCGCGTCCCAAGGCCTGAGAGGGCTTCCTCGATCTAGGTCGGCCTGGTAGCTAGATTATTGAAACTTCTTGATATGCCCCTCGTCTCCCCGGAAAAAGGAAATCTCGGGGGCGTGTTTATTGAACGAAACGGACGCCGCCGTCCACCTGGACAGAAGATCGGGTGTCCGACGGAATGTCTTCAGCGTTACAAGAAGAACATCCATGAGGACCGCCGCGTACCCTTCGTCCCAAGGTCGTAGACGGCCCGGGCCGTCTTGGTTCACCAGCTCAGCCCCGGTCTGGTTGCTGACCTGCTGTACGGCCAACCGGAAACATCATTCCAACCTTTGGCGCTTGTTGCTATACCCTCGCCCTGAGGTCACTGGGTGCAGAAGCCGCGTTTCGAACACCGTTGCTTCGAATCCACCCAAATCTGCCAGCTCCTTGGCCAACATCCATCCGGAAAGTCAGTCGCTTATGGTCCCTCTACGCCACCCAGCCCTGAAGATTGAGGGACCGTAGGCTTGACCGGGCGATATATAGCACGACTCAACCCCCGAAAACCAGTGATTGTTGCCTTTGCAGCGAACACCCCATGATCGGTAGGCAAGCTCTCTTGCTCGCTGAAAAACATATTCATCAGACAGTCATAAGACCAGGTGGTTGCTGGGTGATTGTAGCCGCGTCCCTGATGATGTCAAGGGCTACCTTGTGTCGTTTTCAAATCATCAATAGTAATATTGCTAGTTCAATTAGCATGGCCTTTTATCTCCCACGTCTGTCGAGAAACGTCATATTCCATCATGCTGTTTCAGAGTGCAGTCGGACAACACCATCAGAACAGTGAAAATCATTTGACTCTTGAGGCCTTGGTGACAGCAGCCGGATTTCAAAATCGTGTTTCCCGCCGCAGGTAATTGCTGACTTTGCTGATTGCCATGAGACTGCCGCTGGCAAATTCAATCAGAATAATCCCCAGCTGGGAAGTTGTTTCCCATATTTCATCTTTATTACCGCGACTATCCGGAAATCCAAGCTGGGAAAGCAAGAAGGCACCGGGCCCTCTCGGCGTCAACACGGTATAATTAACAGAAGACCATAGCTGCGTTTTCTGTCCGATCTGTAAACGGCCGCTCGACCTCGCGTAGTGGTCGACGCTTGAATATATATCATCCCGGCAAAGACGGGGAATAGGTTTGCCGAATATACTACCCAGAGACATTCGATCGAGAATGCATTGTCTGCATTGTCTGCACCAGTTAGGAATGGAGTATAGCAGCCAGGTCATGCGAAGAACCTAGAGCCTCCAGCGTCGATGTAGGTGTCGAGGTAGGTTTAGGCAAACAGCATTCAGCACACTTCAGACGACCAGCATAACGAGCGCACCATGGTACAGTCGCATTCACTGAACTCATCGTGGAACTCGTCGCGGATGAAAATCCTTACTTTGTACAAGGGACGCACCTGACGAAAATGGTTCGAACCTTGGTATGCCGGTTTTCCTGAATTCATCCATAAATTCGTCGAGCAGAAAGACGCTGGCCTTGTCGAGGGGCCCATCGCAGCTGACACACATGACCAATGACACATCTCGCAGGGTTACTGATATATGCGACCGAGCCATTGACAGCAAGGCTGGGTATGTGGCATGCGGCAAAGAAAAGTGCACTGGGTCCAGAGGCCATCGTTGACATGGTCAAGGTCCTCCGTGTCTGCGGCCGTCGTCAAGACGGCGGAGGATTTCAAACCGCGGTACCCCCGGTCTCATCAAATCCGTCCATGAATTCGTCCAGAGAAAAACGCCCGTGTTGTCATCGCCAGGAGGTGGTAGAGATGGCCAATGAAACATCTCGCAGCATTGGGATTGCATCTATGAATGATACAAGTGGCTGCTTCCTCGGCGGGAAAGCCGAATGACATGGCCAGACGAGAGACAATGCACTGGGCCAAAGACCATCGTCATTTGTGTGAGCCAGTGATTGATCTGCTGCAACTGGACTCGTTGGAGCATAAAGTCTGTTCAAGACCATAGCCCCAGCTGATTTGGTGTGCGCCGAATTGGTTTACTTCGACGAAACCCACAGCGATCAAGTACTCCGCTTGCAAACCCCCCGAGTGTCAGCAGCCGTAGACCGGTGCCGTGATTTCCCGGGACTGTCTTTGCTGGCGAAGTTGGTCCCTCAAGTACTTAGGGTTCTGGTGTGCTGATCCCACGCCAGGGACAGCGGCAAGTGCTTTGGTGAGACCGTGCGTAGGCGTATCCCTTTCAGCTATTGTTTCGAAATCCCTAGCATAATGGACCTGTAAGCAAGCATGGTTTTGCAGTTGCAATACGAGCACCCGCCCACTGGGCGAACTTTGTGGCAGAGATCTTGGTTATTATCCGGATATGTCTTAACATGCCTTATGTTCTTGATGGACGGATAGGAACAGCTGCGAAACAGGCGTGGAATTAGCTGGTAGTTGCTTGTTGGATGAGAAGTGCTGGTGAGCCCGGTAAATGCTGTAGGATATCAGATGTCCATTGTAACAGTGGCTCAGGAGGCGGAGTAAAACCACGCAGCATGGCAAAGACTTGGTTCATGGAGTCAGAGTGCCACGGGTACAAAGGTCGAATGTGCGAGGCAGACCTAAGATGCATGTCGCTGATACAGGAGGTTCCTCATGGCGAGTTGACGCCGCCATACCAAGATGAAAAGGTGCACGAGCAAGCATGCATGGAGTTGAACCCATGATGACATCAATAGTCTGGATAGACAGAAACAAGACATCAGTTGGTGATGTTTGCATCGAGCCTACTGGTAGACGAATTTTTTGTAGACGGGCCCTGTTCAGGACGAGGTTGTATCGCTTCCTGTAATGAATTCTGAGCAGTACTTTGGGGCCAACAACGTTGGGAGGTGACTTTCCACAGCCAGACTGGCATTTGCTGTGGGAACCGCGACCAACACTCAGTAAGGCATGCATTAAATGCCCCAAAGTGGGTCGAGCCGGTATTGTTGGTGGATATCTTGTGGCGGCCTGCTTTTCATCGAGTCAGGAACCAGGCGCTCTTGGAGTCTGATTCCTCTTGGAGCGTATGCCCTGCTGCGTAGGACGCGCTAATAAAGATCCCAAGACACGTAGGCGCAGTCGGCTAATGTCAGGCATGGCTGGACTTGAGGCGAATAAGACACTTGTGTATGTAGCAGGGTTGTCAACGAGCGAAGGATAAGCCTTCAACCACCGTTAGATGATGGAAGGTCCTGGTGGCTGGAGTAAGATCAATGTCTTCTTTTTCTGGCCGAATGTTTGTTGATAGTCCGTCAGATATATCTTGGAAACAGTGACTGGACCTCCAAACACTGCTGGCCGCGTGGTTTCAATTCACGTGTGACTTCTGTCCGTATACCGTGCATGTTCTCCTTCTGTAGCTGAATGTGGCGAGAAGCTGCGGTCTACTTGCAGCCAGTATCTTGCATATACCACTTCTCGGATGCAAAACTGGGCAGGAATTGAAGTAGGTCACCCATGTTTAGCTCGTCAGAGAAAAAGCCGACAAAGTCCCAATCAGTGCGACGACAACAAACTGCTCGGCGGCATGCCCGTAGAGAGTCTGTAGTGGTGAAGCATTTTTGGGTGTTCTTGATCTCAGTGGACCCGTGCGTTTTGTGTTTTGCTAGAGTTTCTTTGTGTGCTGCAGACCGCGTGGCATTGTTGGGTTGTTCCTGGACATCAGACATTGACCCTGGTTGAGGCTTTAGGTGCTTCGATATCTATTCATGATTTGGATCCAGACACAGCATGGGTGATGGCTGAGATAGTGGACAGAAAGGCCCGAGGAAGGCGGGAAACAACCCAACGCAAGTCATCCTCGCTTGATTCAGATCGGAATGCCTCGACAATGTGCGAAAAGGGAAGGCGTCTGTCACTCCTTCCCATGCTGCTTGACACACCCTTGGAATGTGGAGCAACAGGTGGGAATGTGCTGCACCACTGCAAGTATATTTAGAGAGGACCAGAACATGGTCGAATTTCTGAGACAAAGTTAGTAGGATGCGATGGACTCGGTAGGCGCCATGTGCGGTGGAATTGACCGGCCAACCAAGGGCGGGTTCACCAGGGCTGAGATCTCTCTCCAGACGCAGCACACCACATGCGTTCAGGGCGTCGAAGCTTCAGTAGAACGTAGGGTTGAGGTTCATCACCAGCCTCCGAGTATCCGCGATATCCAACGCAGTGACTCAACATTCCATGTTTGTTGTCGGAACGGAGCGCACCTAGAACAAAAGTCCCATTGTCCTGTCGTCAACGTAAATCCATACATCGCAACGCCACGGTCCACTTGTCCACCGGTGTTTGTGAAGCCAAGACCAGGTGAAGGAGTCGTTGACCTTCGTAGAGAACTGAGCCGACGAATCCTTGTCAGGACCTAGTCCGATCCCTGTACGGGTGGGCTGAATGTCTTCGTCACTTTTGTCGTTGCTCAGTATCGCATATTCATGCTCAGACTGTACAACAGTAATTCTGATGCCAAAATCAGGAGAAGGGTCGTAGACTCCACGCGCACATTCAGTTCGGTCATCACATCAGGGAGAAGAGCGGCTGAAACGGCGGCTCTTGATGTAGGAGCTAGCCGCTTGATGCCTAATGATATTTGCCACATTTGGTTTCAAAACCTGACAGGAATCAGTCGGTCGAACGGCGAACGGCGGACGATCCTGGTGTCCCACAGCGGGAGACAGACAGATGCTGCTGATAGTAACGACCAGCGTTCCGACCAACTCTGAACCATATGGCAGTTGTATCTCCGTTTTTGTAGGCTTGCACGATTCGATTAGTCGGAGCGTGAGTCTCGATTCGTCCTTCTCGAGAATTTCCTCGTGGAGGATCAGCCTGCAATTTGGGGGTAAATCCATCACCCATTCGGCGGCATGAAACGTCGCTGGCATCACAATCCACATGACAAAAAGCGCCCAGTCCTAGGTACATGGCCGGAGTCTTGATGTATCGCCAGGGTAACGCCCTCTCTAAGATATCGAAGCAACAAGACATCGGATATTCCAAGGTGCTAAGCGAACCCAAGAGCCCATGTCCAGAATGTAAGCCATCGCGGTTGTCGAAGGTCATGTACATTTAGGAGGTGCCTCGGGCCTGTCGCTGGTACATTCCATACCATATTCTTCGCACAGGGATTCCTTGTCGGTACATTGGGATCCGTGCTGGATTGAAAGGTTGCGCACCCCCGCTGAGCGATGCGCCATCACAGTTACTACAAAGAAAAAGGACCACCATTTTGACGGCGGAATGAAAAGATCTTGAAAGAGTATCGGCGTCACCAGTGTCTGATTCTGATCATGTGCTTGCGGGAACTCATTCGAGCAGATGCTGTATTGTATACTCATGGAATTGAGAGATAGGACGAAGACCAGTGTAACCAGGCCCGAGTCAGCGGGGGCTGTGGAGGCTGGGGGACGCCTATGCGAGCAGAAACCTGTGGGCTCTTTTTTGCTCGAACAAGCATGCGTCTGGGAGAAGAGGGTATTGAATGGCTTTTTCGTAGCTTCCATGGAGGTAAAGGTAATGATATCACCAGAAGATGCTGTGATAGAATCTCTTCAAGAAGGGTAGTGGTTGGAAAACCTCGATGCTGGCACGAAGTACTTCGAGTACATGATTCACCAGACTTATACAGGACTGCGTGGTCCTGTGTTGCCTTGGTGACACTGACTGCATCTGATGGTGGTCTCCCGTCGACGGCGGTCATGATATCGACATTATCGGGTTTGGAAATAGACAGATACCACCAGACCCGGCGGCGTCGTGTCCTTCGCTCGGTGCCGCTGCCTCTGGCATCATGTCATTCATGTGTGTTCCCAGTTCACCGCATGAGCCGCATCTGATCTTGAAAACCGGCGTCAGAGGGAATGACTGGTGGAAAGTATATTAGCCCACGGGTCATAGCAAAGGTGATGCTAGTGTGTATGCAAGCCGCTGGAGTGTCATGGAACTGACCTCGGCCAGGGGAAAGGGAGGAATGACAGTCAGGGTCCTTCGGTCCAAGCACCCGGGGAGTGTCGAAGGTTAAGAGCCCAAAGAGATATCCAATCTGGAGGGCCGGCCTGTGAGACAAAGCAAGGGTTACTAACTGCGAGAGGATATCTGCCGATTCGTATGTCTTGCAGTAGAACGTTATTATATCAGCGAAAGATATAGCCAGACTGCGTAGCACCTACGAAGCAATCACGGCCGGGGTAGGGGACTTCTGGGCATCATGGTTCAGACTCGGAGACAGCGAAATGCTCTAGCAAGGAATCCGGGGTGAAGGCCCCAGGTGTAAGTAACAATAGAAGCCCTTTTGCCCCATGCCGTGGATACAGACGGGTGATATTCCTTTCCCCGAACAGTGGACATGGCAGACCAATGTCCTCTGCGTGGGTCATCCATGGATGCCGCACTCGAGCCCACCTTTTGGCGGTCGGTCATAGCTGAGTTTGGTGGCCACGCAGTTGGTGATAACACACTGTTAATCTCCATGGATTGAGCGGAGTTAGCTTGATGTCAATTAGTACGCCGCCCGAAGAAGTATACTGAGGAAAAAGCAGAAACAGCTCAGCGGACTGGAGGTTGATATAGATGGAAGCTGATGCCAGCGCTCTCTGACCGGCAAGTTCGTCGCCCCTTGTCGTGCTGTTTCTTTCATAGACACCGGCCATTGGCCAGTGACGGACGGCATATGCGGACGTTAACTCTGCTTTTGTCAGAGACGACCGCAGTGGGATGGTTGTTAGTTTGGTGCTTCAAACATGCTGCTTCATAGGGCTGACTGAGTTCATGTAGGACACCACCAACACCGCGGGACATGGAAACAATGGATTCCAGTTGCGATAGGGGTGCTACTCATATCTTGCTTATGACTCTGACCGGAATTCGATCGGGGTATCACAAACTTTCACACCCGATACTGCCTGATTTCCCGAATAGGATTACATGGATATGATGAGGCCATTGTGCGAGTTCCTTGCACGCTAACGACGACAGCGTTTCAGGATGCACCACAAATCATATCCAACTTCTCTGTCACTGGGATAAATGGTCATATCGTGAGCTCGCAAACCTTGGATGTCGGGAATTGTTACATGGCTCAAATGTCGATGAACATAAAAAGCCCATACTTTTTTGCTTTCGTCGACTGGTTCCGCCCAATGCAAGCCACCGCAGAACCAATAACAGGTGTTCAACTGGACTCCGAGTAGAATAGAGTTGGAGCGGCTTGGCGTCGCGATCGTTGGCGCGAGGTAGAGGTCTAGTGTGTCTGAGATGAAGAGGTCGTCTGTTGACGTGGTGGCTATAATTTGTCTGGGGCTGTGGGACTGGGACGTTGCGTAGAGATATCGGTTTGCAGCCGCTAGCACCATGACCATAAGTGTAATCGGTTGTGGCATCGTTGCCGGTGTAATCACCCTGTAAGAAGCAGGGACCTAGGGGCGCCGGTCGTAGGGTGATACTCTTTATCTTGGTGGCCAGGTATGTCATTGCAAAAGGTGCGAATGCGTAGGGTGGTGTATCGATGGCTTAGTGAGCGGTTACAGCGCAGGCCAGCGAAAACGGATGCAGTCTATCCACCATTATCAGGGGCTCTTGAGGTGGAACAGCGTGCCCTTGAGGTGTCCTCGTGCAGACTGTGATGATACACGTCGCCGCCAACCGTGAACGATGGCGTTCCCGCTGATGTATTGCGATGTCTCGACACACAGTCCATCGAATGCACGATGATGTCACTGTATCGGCAGCCCAGCTGTGGTAGCGAACCTGTAGACTAGCTGGGTTGACGTTTCAACGGCGTCGTGCCACCTGGTTCACAACACAGGTGAGGTGGACGATCCATGATGGATACGGAAGAGCGGCGGATCGCGGAATAGCTCGTGTCTTTTTCGATGCCTGCGAATCACAGATTTGTGGCCTGCGTCATCGGGTCCACTGTTGTAAATTGGTATCATGCCGCTGGCAAACCTCACGGCTGCCTTGCAGGGGCGTGACCCGTGGGTCGAAACAGCGAGTTCAGTGCGTCGCGTTCCTCGAGGGATCTTTGCGATGGCCCTGTTGCTCTCGCGCCAGGCTGCTAGCAACGGTAGTACACTTTGTGAGCCTTGGGACTCACGAATTCCTTTCAGCCCAGGCCGCAACTTGCGGGAGGACCTTGCTCTGATAACCTAACCATCATCTGTCGTTGGTATAAGAAGGTACTGATAGGGCAATGCTAGGTTCCCATCCTCTCTATTAACCGATGCAGGTTTTGGATTGACGGGTGGAAGTTGCTTCGCTTCGCCATGATCCTTGAAGGCTCTCTCCCGGTTCGGCCAGCCCACCCTCCATCCATCCCCAAACATCCGGCGAACATTCTTTGTTCACCGTGGGAGGCTGTAGCGTTACAGGATATCCTGACGCACGATATAAATTGTCCTTGATCCGTGATAATGTTAGCTGATTTGGCAGTTCTGTATGCGGGTGGCGGGAGTAGTGGGAGTAAATACTTGTCTCTTTTCAATCATTTGGCAGCATTCCGACATCGAGTAGGCTTCCCCTCGCCCGTTGACCAATGGCTACACCGTTCTGCTTCACTCCGTCGTACGCTGCTGTTGCGAAGGCCCCTCATTTCCTTTATGGACCAAGATAGCATGTCGTCGGCCTATCTTGTCCGCGCACGAAGAAGACGGCACATCCAAGCAAGTGGCAAAGCAACAGGAGCACATGAGGTAAGAGATGGAACAAGCGTCTGCCCCATCCACTGACTCAGAGAAATTCACTCCAGCATCCCACGGAGAACCCCAACTAAGCAAGTCCTTAATCTCATCAAAGGCGAAGGAGAGCCTCCCGGTCGAGCGCCCTTTCAGTCCAGTTCCAAATAGTACGGACATGGAGATGGGACCTCCATCTGCCGCTATCATGGATATGTGGTTAATATGCAGTGTGAGGAGTAACCTAAGTATGAAAAGGAAAATAATGTCATGGAGCACTGATTGTGTCCTCGCCGGCCAGTTATTAGTGGAACTGATGTGTCGAGCCTCGACTGGCAGATCTTTCTGCACCAGAGCACAGCACGGTGAAGCACTCCTATATCAGGGAGGTCTGATGTAGAACGCTCTGCCCATGCGGGTGGTTCTCCCACGACCTTGTACGCTTCCTTGGCTCTTCAGGTGGTGTGCTTTCCGTTCACATCCTTGTCCGAACGTGCTCCGATACCTCCACGGGCTGGTTCAGTGTGTTCTTCGCTTGGGTCGCCAAGCGCCATCGCATTGCCATAGGAAGGTTCTCCACCGGCGGTGCTAGGGTCAACCAGCGGCTGAAATGCAGACTAACCGGACCAGACGGAGGAACAGAGCGACAGCGTTCCTCATACTCGATATCACATAGTGACAGCACGGGGATAATGAAGGCGGCTGAGACTTGTTCATGGGAGAGACACACCAAAGACAATCGAATCTTTTCTGGATTCCGGTTGGCCGTCAACTTGGTTGAAGATCGGTCATCTCAGCCAGGGAGGAAGAGCAGGTATGATATGGTCTGTCCAACTGGCTGCTCCCTGTCGAAGCACGCATGGAGAGGCCAGGCGGTTCTGCATGGACTGGAGCGGACTGGCGTACGCTGACCTTAGGAAGGAGAGCACACAGAAAGGGCTGTGCGCGACTTATTTCACGGCCACAGGCCAACATATGTTTGGCTTCTGTTGCAGACGTGCATCAGAGGGTGTGTAAGATGGGTGTGCCGATCTTCATTCGTAGAACGTGCCGAATATGACCAACAATTGAGACAAATGGCCTCAATCTTAATAAGATGGGCTGGGATGGTTATCGAGAGCCTCACAAGGCGATCTTCATGTATCCGGCGATCCCCAATCAGCTCTTCCAGTGATCATATGCTTGGCCACCACTGATCAAGTCGAAATCCGGTTGGACATCGAAGT